CCCCCAACCCCCGGGACCCCTGCCGGGGCCCCCCGGCCGGGGGTTGACAACCCTGATTTATGGGTCCCTTTCGGGGAGGTGGCTTCCACGGGGATGCGCGTGCTGAGAGAGGCGGGGCCTCTCATGCCGACACGAGCCGTGCAGAGGCGGGGAGACCGACTCCTGCTCCTGCCGGGCGAGAGCCGACCGTTCAGCCACCTCCTGCGTCGAGTCCTGCACCGCCCATCCCCGTCTCGCCTCTTCAGCCAGCCACTACACAGGCGGAGACGGAGGAGTTGGCATCCTCCTTGCCTCCGCTCGGGGTTCTGCAGAGATCGACGGTGGTTCGACAGCTGAGGTTACGATCACCTTCCCCGGGGGTATTACAGGAGGAGGGGGATGTGGCAGTAGCAGCGCAGGAGGCACCAGCAGTCTCAACAGCGAGGGAGGAGGTGCCAGTACAGGCGACGACTGAGGAGGAGGTAGCGGCAGCGAGGCCGCAGGAGGCCGTTCCTATGGATCATGACAGTGCGGACACCGATGAGCAGCTCGTGCGGCGCTTCATCACGGAGGAGGTCGATCCAGTCGTGGGGGGTTTGACCCCGGGGGCGGCGATGGAGCTGGGGATTTCTGCTCCCACAGAGGGGGTGGGGTCAGAGATGGGGACGCACTTAGACTTCGACTTGTCGATGGGCCCTCCACCTACTTGCGGCGGGGCGACATCGACGGATCGGGCGCCGTCACGGGACGACGCAGCAGATGCGACGGAGACACGGACCCCAATGGAGAGGACGCAGGCAGAGTCTCCAGATACAGCACGCGACATCATGGAGCGAGAGAGGGCTTGACTTATGGCATCGAGTAACCCGCGTGCTCAGGCGTTCGCACATGCCTTGGAGGAGGCCAGGCGTCGAGAGACTGGGGGGGATGGTATGCAGGGTGGGGTGGTGGTTGGGGAGGACGTTATGGAGGGAGTAGCAGCAGAGGCGGGCGATGAGGCTATACAGGGTGGGCCAGAGGCAGTGGATGTTCCTATGGATCGTCGGCCACAAGCGGCGGATGAGGCTGTGCAGGCAGGACAACGACGAGATGAGGGGGCTATAGACGCACGGCCCGTGGTTCAGGAGATAGCGACGGGTCCAGTCGTTCCTTTCTCGGGCTTGCACTTGGCTAAGGGCCGACAGTCGCAGCCGGTTCAGGTGGCAGTGCATGGTGTGCCACCACCCGTTATCACGGATATGGGGTCTGAGCCGGTGGTGGTGCCTCCACGTCCTCCTGGTCACTTTGCTCCGTAGGAGGTCCGTCGTCCTTTGGATGCAGATGAGTTGACGAGAGATGTTGTGCGTGATGTTACTCGATTGGACCGACGGATCTTCGACCGAAGGCTCGATCATCCAGCATGGCAGGTGATCCCTTCGGTTCCATGGGGTCCGGCGTCGCCCGTGTGGTCTGGGTCTACCTGCACCGGAGAACGTACTGCAAGAGATGTTCCAAGGGTTTCGGGTGGCGTGCAGGAGACAGCGCCACATACAGGAGACATGCCACCCCCTCCTCGTAGACCACCTATAGGTGATCCATCATCGTCGCCCACAGGTAGAGGCTCTCGATCCCCACAGACGCCCAGGAGATCGAGGATTTGTGACACGACAGCAGTTCTGCGGGACGTGTGTGACACGTCCATATTCGGGAGGACAAACATAGATTTGGATTCTACCCGCCGTGTCATGGAGCACACTGCACGCGTTCAGCTGGGCTTGGGAGGAGTTGGCGCCAGGACGACCGCAGCGAGGGAGGTGCCAGCATCAGGTTGTGAGCCTCAGCGAGGTCGTGGTAGAGGAGTGTCCACCTTGGAGCACGCTCTGAGAGCAGCGACGCGTGCTGTGCAGGAGCAGATTCCGCGCAAGCGTGGAGTGCCTCCTCGTCCACGCCCTGTGGCTGCAGAGGGAGGCGCTGCGCTTGGAGAGAGTTCGGGGGCGGAGGGGTTGGGGATGCCTCCTAGATCCCGCCGTGAGCAGACGGGTGCAGAGGCTAGTGCGAGGGTTGTTTTGTTGAGGAAGGGAGGAGGCCCTGTCACTATCGAGGAGGATGATCCTGAGACGGATGCGGCAGTGCGAGAGGAGGACAAGGACTACGAGGGCGAGGAGGAGGGTGAGAAGGAGAGCGAGAGAGGTTCCGGCGGTGACAACGACTACGGCGACGATGGGCCCCCAGGCCCCCCACCTCCCCCGCTGACGCGTGCATCTAGACGGTCCGCTGCGCAGACTTCTTCGTCCGCACGAGGGAGGAGGAGGTCGGCATCTGGCACTCGAGGGGGTGCGAGGACAGGGAGCGGGAAGGGGAAGAAGGGTCATTGACCGTGAGGCCAACACTCCCTTTTTCCCCTACTCGCATCGTACTTCATCATGTTGTGAGGTCCTGTTTTTTCTGGTCGTGTCGTCTTGTCTTCGTATTGTTAGACACTCAGTGAGTCAGTGGTAGTGTGCATGCTGTAGTTGTTGTTTCCTTCGTTTTTGGTATGTATGATTTTGGTACCAGTAGGGTGTTCGTAGATTAGCGTTGGTTGCAGCAGACTGAGTACAGTACAGTATCTCAGGAGCTACGACACGACTTGTAGACTACTGTTTCTTGTAATTTTTTCCGACATTTGGTACGAGTGTTTTTAGCAGTAGGATTATATTAGGATACATTGTATTATGTTACATTTTTCATGTGTGATTTCAGTGACAGGTACTTCGCGTTGTTCACGACTTCTCATGTACATTTTCAGTTACGAGTGATGCACGTCGTGTGCGCGACGTTTCGTGGCCATTTTTCTCAGGTCTGTGATTTTTTATCTTTATTTGTTGTTTGCATTTTGAATTTCATTTCTTGCGTTTGTTTCTTTTGATATTTTTTTTGCTTTGAGAGTTGGGTGGTTGTTTTCTTTTTTTTTTGTGTTGATTGTCGAATCTATTTGCATTGACTGAAATGCTAACTGATA